AGGGAAATGGGAGGCGTGGAGAAGGCAGAAATCTTTTTTTTTTCAATAAAAAAATTATATTTTAAAAAAATGAAATGTTAAAAAGAGTCTTCTAACAAAAAATTGCTTCTGGTAGAACTGAAAAGTCACATGCAAAAAAAATGGCCTCTCTACAAATGCTGTGTAAATTTAGATAAATTTACATATTTATCTAAAAATTAGATAAATATGGACCCTTAGGTTAGAGAGAAAACTATTTGCTTTGTCCGATGGCTAATCTTGTTTGACAAATTGACTACATCTGGAATCATATAAAACCCAAGCAGCTAGCACATCTGTGGGGATTTTCTTGGATCATTTCAGGTGGGAAGACCCCCCCCCCCAATCTGAGCCACAGCTGCTGATGACAGCCTGTAGACGAGGACATGAAAGAAGGAACATCATGCTTTCTGCTTGCCTGCCCTCACCCTCTCTAGCAAATCATCTGCCCTGTTGCTTGGGCATTTCTTTCCTGGTATTGGAACCTACTACTTCTTCAGGATTCTAGAGTAGACTAGAGACCAGCAGTTCTGCACTAATCCTCTGAGACTCCAGCTCTAGACTGGGGCTGTTACAGCCTTCAGCCTTGTGCACTGAACAATTACTGGATTTTTGATCTTTCCATGGGAGACCACAGCCTGTAAATCACTCCAGTAAATTCCCTTTCAATATATAGACATTCCTTCTATCAGTTCTGATACTTTGGAGAATCCTGACTGGTACATCCTGCAAACAAGACCCAAGTCTTACCCCCAAAACCCATGTAAAAAAATTTTTTAAAGGCTGGGTATAGTGATACACAGTTGTAATCACAGGGCAGGAGAAGCAGAGGCAGGCCCTTGGTGCTTGCTGGTCAGCCATCCTATTCTATTTGTGGAATTCCAAACTAGCATAATCAGTAAGATAAAACTGTAAATAAACTGCAAAATAAACAACAAAAAAGGTTTGAGTTGTCACCCTGGGTCCTCTGGCCTTGCATGTACAAATAAATGCATGCTCCTGCATACAGACGCACACACACACACACACACACACACACACACACACACACACAAAATCATCGACCTATTATCTATCTATCTCTCTATTTTTCCATCTCATATACACACATATATATGATAGCTAAATGAAAAAATTAAAAAATAGATATTTTAAAACAATATAGCAATAAAGCTTGACTAGAGCTGGCAATAACTACTTTGATTGGACGCAAGAACAAACAAATCAGTGAGACCTCAGAAAATCACGCTGTGGTGCCTGAAATAAACTCAGCAACGAACTGCAAAGGGCAAGTTGTTAAATGGAAAAAGAACTTGAAAATCACATATCTGGTAATGGACCAAGATCTAGATAAATAAAGACCACATATATAAAGAAAACTTCACAAGTCTTTTAAAATTGAAAAATCGTTTGAACGGCATTTCTCCAACAAGGATATGCGAGTTAGCAATACAATCAAGTGAACAAAACACCATCATCTCATTAGATCTTACAGATATGAACTTGACATCACTGTAATGGCAATGTTTTCAATACAAACTGACAGAAAACAAGTGTTGGCAAGGATGGGGGGAAGTGATACCCCTCCTGTCTTGCTGGTGCAGACAGTATGGAAAGCAGCATGCTATGGTCAGCAACTCCAAAATCAAAGCAGGGGACCACATGACTCAGCAACTTCACCCACAAATACTCATCCAAGAGGAAGGAAAATGTGCAGATGTGCTCCATAGCAGGCTGGTTGCTACATGGGGTAAACACAATTCATGGCGGGCCTCCACACCTAACAGTCAGCGACAGCAATAACAGCCAAGTGCTGAACACTGCCACGGCGGGAAGGGACCTTGAAAGGAGCCAGACCACTTATTGTGAGAGTCCATTCCTCTGAAATGCCCAGAACAGGTAAGTGTCTAGGAAGAAACGACAACGTAGTTTCCCAAGGCTGAGGAAGGAGGTGCGCATAAGACGGCTACCAAGTATGAAGTTTCTTTTTTATGGTGACAGAAATATTCTAGAGCTGAATTTCAAAGGACATCAACTGTGGCTCAATAGATCGATTCCAAAATACTGACTTTATGCTCATGTCTTGGGGTCCTGTCCTTCAGTAAAGTTTCAGGACATAAGGGGGTCAACAGCAGACACTCTTAATAGAAAACGGTGAGTTTGGTCCATACACTCAATCTGCAAATGGTCTTACAAACAGTCCTTTCATTTGTGAAGCATTGAGCAAAAAAAATTTTCCAAAAAGAAAGGAAGGAAGGAAGGAAGGAAGGAAGGAAGGAAGGAAGGAAGGAAGGAAGGAAGGAAGGGAAAGGAAAGGAAAAAGAAAAGTGAGCTTTAGTTTTTAAACTCACCTCATATCTCAAAAATGACCAGTTTTTGAATTTCCATCAGAACTACATTCTCCAATGTCTTGCCCAATTTTTGCCATTTTCAAGAGTTTCTTATTTCTATAAGAATGTAACAAATAGTATATTTTATCAGAACAGACTTAATAATTGCTTAAGCGTGTTCTGATCATATAAAATAAATGTATCTATAAATTGTGACCTAAATTTAATCTAGTTTTTCTTGAAAGAATTTTATTTAATTATCTTAGGTAAAGAGTATAAAGACAATTAATATAATATATACAGCAGTCAAATAATGGAATATATGTATATATTTACAGGATTCTTATAAATAATATTGTCAACTTCATATACTTATACAAAACATCAACTTATTACGAGCTTTAACCCAAAGTTCACCTAAAAAATGATAAAACATACTTTATAAAATTCCTTGTTCATTTGTGTTCATGTGTGTATGTTTGAAATTGAATAACACACACCTCTTGGGCACATGGGGGATACCTATGGAAAAGGAGTTTATAACATGCTGTATTTTATAACAACAAAAAAGAAAATATAAACTAAATCCAGATATTTTATTATTAAAGGTAATTGGAAGGCTTTGTATTCTAAACTTGTTTAATTTTGGATGGAATCCGACATGAAAAGAAAAGTAAAAAAAAAATAACTTTAGAAATAAAACATCATGGTCAAAAAAGTAGACTGAGAAGCCATCACACACCAAACATGGTGTTGTACTAGTTTTCAAAACTGTGGGGAATATTATGTTTCATCATATTTCATGTTCTAAAAGCACTCGGGCTAAGTGTGATGACACACACTTGAGTATTTGGGGAAATGGGACAATGGAATCGTGGGCTATAAAATGAGACCCCGCCTCAAAAAGGGAAGAAAGAAGGTTCAGATCCTGTCACTTTCTGAAGTAAAACTTAAATGCAATTGTTTTGTTGTTATTTCACCGTGTGTGTATGTGTGTGTGTGTACGTGTGTCTCAAGATGTGACTCCGTTTGTTGTGTCTGGCAGTAAGCCCCTCTAAGCGTTGAGCCATCTTGTAGACTTAGAAATAGTTCTTCTGAAAACACATAAATAAAATGAATTTAGATTTCATTTCACATATAGCTAATAGGAGCGGTTGACAATATTTGAAATACTAAAATCTTACCTGGTTATCTCCTTTTGTAGTTCATCATTTTTCTTCTGCTGCTGATACAAATTATATTCTAAAGATTGCTTTAATTTGGTAAGTACTTTGATCGAATTTTCCTCGTCTTCCATCTTCAAGAAATCATACAAAATAGCTTTAAAACCCTAGAGACTTATTCTTCTTTCTTAAAACTATGATGAAGCTGGGTGGTGGTGGCTCACGCCTTTAATCCCAGTCCTAGGGAGGCAAAGGCAGGCAGATCTCTGTGAGTTCAATGCCAGCCTGGTCTATGGTGGGAGTTACAGGACAGGCTCCAAAGGTACAGAGAAACCCTGTCTCAAAAACAACCAAACAATCAAAGAGAGAAACTATGATGAATATGCATAGAAAATTTTAATAAGTGTGATAAACCTAACACAACCAAGGAAAATGTAAAATAATTGATATTTTTCTTATTTATGAACAAAGCTATTTTTCAAATGTGTTTATTATTATGTGCATGGATGTTTTGAAATCATGTATGTCTGTGCACTGTGTGTGCAGTTCCCAGGAAGGCCACAAGAGTGTACTAGATTCCCAGAGACTGGATTTATCAAACCTGAGTCCTTGGGAAGAGCAGTCAGTTCTCTTTACTGAGCTCTCTCTCTGGCCCCCTAATTAGTTTAATTAAAACTTTATTATAAAGAACTTGCAAGTAAAACAAACACAGCGAAATTAGCCAGGCCCAAGGTGTGCCCATCGCAGGAAATACAGTTAGAACAGCCATTCTGCAACTTGGGACCCTCACACTGGATTTTACCCTTTCGCTGTCGAGTAGGTTTTTATGCACTTAATCCAGCACTAAAAAAATTAACAAAACATGAAAACTCCATGATATATTTGAAACAAGAAAAACAATTAGCTTTATAACCTCTTTAATGACTTTTCTAAGAGTTAACTATTACCATGAATTTTTTTGGTTTGGATGGTGGATAAAAATGTAAGGATGCATAAAAATATATTTGCTTCAATGAGATGCGAAGATTAGGCCCAGTTAATTTCAATGTGTGATGGTTTTCTATAATAAAATTTATATACTCAAAATCATTTCTATTTTTCATATTTCCTGTTCTTTAAGTTGCTAAAATGTATTGGATAAAATGCAAGACTTCGCAAATAAGGATTGTTAAAATTAAAGTATGGTTGCATTTATACCCTAGTAAAAATATACCATAGAAGCATTTTAATAGCTGCAGATAGTCCAGGTTTACTTAAGTCATAATTTACTAAGTTTTTTTTTTTTTTTGAAAACCATTGTTTTATTCTCAGTGTATCTTTTTATCCTCGCATGACTGTTGAATGAGACAATCACACTCATTCTCTCTTGGCAGTCTCTGGGCGTGGGAGTGTTCACCTGTGGCTAGGACGCTTTGCTGCAAGCCTCATCCTCTCTACAGCGCACGACAGCATAACAGAGTCTGAGTCACATGGTCTCATCATCCCCCTCGCTCACATCCCGCTCAGCTAGTGTTTGTTAGGAGGCCGTGTCAACAACAAACTCGTTTTTCATTACCTAAGGATACCAGCTTTTACACTAACATCAGATCCCCAACCGTAACAACTGCAATGAAAGATTTTGAGAGTCAAGAACACTTCAAGTTCTTCTGTTTCCTTTACTCTTCTTTTTCTGCCATAACTTTTGCTTTACCACATCAACCTGACTCTTCTGTGTGTGTGTGTGCGTGCGTGCGTGTGTGTGTGTGTGTGTGTGTGTAGGCTGAAGATTGGTGTCCAGTGTCTTCCTCATTCACCTTTCCACCTTATTTTTTGAGGCATGGGCTATTTCTCTTGGTCAAACTTAGGTATGTATTACCTACTGGGACAAGTATACTTGAACTTTTCTTTTGTCTATTCTGCCGCATGGGAGCCATTCTTAGATCCACAGACATGGACACTGGCTATGAGCACAACCATACAGCTGGTGAGTAGGGCAGAGGTGAAGCAGTGTCCACTTTTACATAAGAACTGGACATAGAGACCTCGAAGAGCTCTTAATGACAGCTGTTTTTATTTAAAGGCTATCGGTACCACTGCCATCTTCTCCACCAGTCATTCAGATGGGGGTGAAATTCAGAGGCAGGCGTGCCCTTTCCTTGCTGACGTGAACAGTGGATCGATAAACACGTGTTTTAAAATTGACACAAATATGCTTCAAGGTAAATCACAATTAAGGATATCTTCTTGTTTAAGAAAACGGAAAAACCTAGTTCTAAGAGATGCTTTTGGTTTTGTTTCATCTAGTTTACGCATTACTCCTGGTGACTCTGGATTATTCACACCCATATGTGGTGAGGTGTTTGTATGCCGGTGACACACTCATGATACGTGTGCAGATCCAGGAATCTGCGGCGAAACACTCGAGCACTGTAAAGACCAACCAAGCTGTAATCCTCCAGAAACGTCCGTCAATGCCACAAAGTCTGTCCACAGTGGCAGTCACTGTGAAACTATGTGAGTATAACTTTAAACAGCGTTTAAAGCCATGCTATTGTATCACAGTTATTTACTCTAATGGGGAAAGACAGAGTGTTCACACTTTAGAAAAATGCATGTTTTGCTTTCTATTGTAATTAATATATATTGTAAGCAATTTGGTGATACACGAAATTTGGGAGAAAAAGGTTTCTATTGCAAGTCTGAAAACAGGAAATGACCATACCGTCACTGGGTAGCTTCGCATGCAGTCATCAGAAGACCGTGGGTTTCCTGGCAGAACCATGTGTCCACATGGGAAGAAGTGTCTGTGAGGGCAACTGCTTGCCACGCAAGGGTTCTCAAGAGAAAACCTTGTTTCTGGTGTGGGCAGAGGAGATGTGTCCTGCTCCACTGTGGTGTGGACTTGTGTGCAGGATTTATCTAGTCTCCTGTTCCTGTAAAGACTGAAAGGGTGTACATTATAATATGGATCTCATCTATCCATAAATGTCTCCCTGTATTTTAGAAGCACTGTAAGAATGCACAGAATTTCCCTATTAAACGGAATCTTAACACTGAAAGGTGTGTAGAAGCAAGCCTGCCATGCAGATATTACAGGTTTCAAATCATTCCAAAGGATTACTTATAAATTTAGGAAAATTATGAGGTAACAAATACCTCTAAACAATATCAGAAGTAAAGACAACGCTATCAAAGACTTATGATTTCACAGGTAAAAAAATGCTGTTTTTTGGGAGGACCCCACACCTATGATCCTTAAGGCTGGAGCAGAGATATTTTAATTCAAAAGGCAGTGACATGAGATTACAGATATGGTAACTATATGGTCATACTAGCAAGTTTACTAATATTCATTTATTAAATATTATATTGTACTTCTTAACTGTTTCTGAGTAAGATGGCAAAGATTTTTATGGATACTTGCATTTATTAAACAAGTTTAGGGGGTTAAAAGAAAATCTCCTCAAGGACATTTCCAAGCTTCTGGTTTTAACACTTTGTCCAGAATATGGGTGAAATGAAGCACTGAACGATGGGCAATCATTCGTGGTAGCACCAAAGGGAACAGCCGAGGAAAGCTAGTTTAGGAAGCTCCAGACCGTGAACAAGGAAAGTAGCTAGCCCTAGGGTTTCCTTACAGTCTTCTAAACAGCACCAAGACTTTTACTATTTCTATTTATTGGCTAGCTAACGAGCAAACGTATCACTAACAACCACGTGAGAATACTAATGAAGAAAATCACATGTCTAATCAAAGGCAGGAGGTGTAACATAGTCTACACTGGAACCCCGTTTTGAAGGCCAGTCTTGTACTGTCTAAGATTATTCTCCAAAGCTATTATTTTGGCTAGCTCGCTCTTGCACCTGCTAATCTCATGCCCATTTCACTGTAAATTCTGGCCTACAGGAAACCTGGGGTTGCTCTATTTTCTGCAGTTCCTGGTTTTACTCACTTGAATAGCAATGAATTGCTAATCCTTAATTCTTCTATACATTGTTGCTCATAACTTTTCTGAGCACTTGTACTTGAGTCTTTTCCGGTTTTCATTTTGGAGGATTCAGACCGCAGACTCTGGATTCTGATTCCTGTCTGATCCGTCGGGAAAATGTTCTCACATAATTCCTCCAAAGTTTCTTGAGTACCTGCCTGTGTCTAAAGCAAATTGAAACGATATATTTAGAGAGAAATATTCAAATATTTATTACAAATTTGATAGGTTTACTTTTGAGTAAATTATTCAAAGAGCATTTTTAAACGCTCGTTTAAAATATTTATCATCAGGGACGGCTCAGAGATTAAGATCACCTGCTGCTCTTGCAAAGGCCTGGGTTTGTTCCCCAGAACCCATTTGGGAACCCTGCAGAGCAAAAGCTCAATGTGGTTAATGCCCAGCTGCACACACAATCTGTCTGTTTCTCAGGAAAGGGAGAACCCACCATAACAGAGAACTGGGACACGACTCCAAGGCCAGGGACCAGTCTCAGAATTTTCAAACCTGCATGAGTGTCTCCCTCAGTGCCTTGCATTCTCCATCCTACTCCAGACTTGGAGGTCAGGGGTGGGGGTTAGGACTCCAGCAGAGAGTTGATTATGTGAGCTATAAAGGACTTATTGAAAGGAGGTGTGTTTTCTAGGCCCCAGCCTAATACTATGGTCTAGTTACTGCATTCCCATCTGGACCCGAGAATGATGGTAAACAAATTTAAGCTGTGACTCTCTGGATGGTTAATCAGAGAAAATGGGGTACCTTAAATGATCCAGAAACAAGTTGCATGCTGCAGGCAGTGTCCTTTGGAGTCAAATGCAGTAAGTACAGACCTTAGCTTCCTGAAGGTGGGCACTTTAGTAAGATGTTGAGTAATAGGAAACAAGACATTAGAATAACGGAAGTGGGGGGGTTGCAAGGCTCCCCATGAGAGCAGTTTTCCCCATGCAGGGAAATGCACATAGTAGAATATTCCCTGAGTTAAGAACAGTGAGTGAGGGGGTTTATTCCTTCAAGATTAGGACTGGAAACGCTTGGTCTACAAAAAGCAGAGTGATTTGATTTTTAAAGGGAGAAGGCAACTTTGAATTTACTGCTTTTTTTTTTTTCAGTGTGGAGAGGGTGGGGCTGTTGAACACAAGGCCTGATGTCTACTAAACAAGCCCTTGATGACTGGGGCACATGCTGACCCTGTATTAGATATTCTAATAAGTCTTTATTTTCCTTACCTCCAAGAAGAAATAAAGAAATTTTAAATCATTTAAAACAGTTCTTAATAAAACAAACATACTGCTCTTTGAATAAAAGGCGGGGGGCATGATTCTTTCTGACCCTCCAAGCTCGTTTCTATGGAGAAGAACCCCACGTTTGCATCCTTCCCACATCTACACACAAACAGATCGTGTTGAGTTTTAGAAAGCCAAGTTACTCCTTCGAGTAAGGTGTTGCTTTAAAATAAGCTTCCAGGACACAGTGTGATTTTAAGTACTTTATGATGTTGACCAGTACACTTCATTTCATCTCATTTTCTTTTGTGATAGTGGAATTGTCCATGAAGAACAGATTATCGATGGTTTTCTTCTGAATACTTTCTATATGTATATATAGAATATACTTTCTATATGTATGTATGTATATATGTATGTATAGATAAATATATATATATCTTCATGGAAGCATTGTTCCAAAGATATTTCCTGCAGCATTATCAACTGGCACCAAAGTCATCCGTTCTATTAAATCAGCTGCTTGAGCAAACTCATGCTGGCATAAGCACTAGCAGTGGCAATAAGAATACAACAAATATCTTTTCAGTGAGATACTTAATATATTCCCTAAAATACTGACATATATTTTTAGGGAAGAAAATGCCTTTTGGCATGACAAAAATGAATGAGAGTGACCTACCAATTTTTCATTTTGTTCCAATTTTAAAGGTGAGTTTTGCAGACACCCACGAAGCTCTTCCATTTTCTTAGCTTGCTCTTTTACTTCAACTTTTAACTCAGAAAGTTCTTGCTCAATCCTAAAAGTGCATGTTTTAAAATAGTTATTCTCATAGACTAATTTTTAGTACCACATTTTAAATGTTTTTTTTTAATTTAGTTCACAAGATAATGGATTTTATCGTATTTTAGACATGCATATCATTAAACATTGTTCCTTCTTGTCTCTTGCCACCCTCCCCATCCCTTCTGTCTGTTCGCCCTACTTCCTCCCCATACCCGCCATCCTGCTCTCCTGCCACAGGTGACCTGCCACAACCACTTGCTCCCCTTCTGCCTTGCCCTAAGACCCCTTGCTTCCCTTTATCGCTCCTCTCTCATTATCCTATATTCCTATACAATATTACATTACTTTTGAAAAATTATCTGAAATAGAAATTGCATAAATTATGATATATTTGAAAAGTATATGATTTAGAAATTGTATCACTTTCCAGTCCTACTTTGTAAGAATATGATGCAAAGTTTAGGTATGATATAAAAAGTCCTATAATTCTTCATTTTTTATCTATTTATAGTGTTTGGAGAATAACCCAGGCTGACATTCATATGTTCTATCACTGAGATACTTCGTAAACTCTGAAATGTGTTTCATGTGACTTCAAGCATGTATTCCAGGCTTCACACCCATATACTAACTCATAACTGATGTACCTTCCCATTACACATCTTACTCTTTATATAAACACTCAAGCCACATCGAATGTTACTTCCAAGTATACCTTTGTAAGTGATCTTTCATCTTCTGGGTAATTTTTAGAGTTTCTATGTGTTGTCTTTGTGATTCTTGCAACTAAATAAAAAATTGAAAATAATTTTTACTAACATGATAAATCTAGCCATTAATTGATAATATGCTAAAGTCTTTAGGAACTCATCTAGATCCCTTGAGCAGTCTGTGGCAACCTGGGTTTTGAAACTTCCCAGATAGCTGAGTGTTGCGGCTCACAAGATCTGAAGTAATAATACTGTCTCTCTTGTCAACAAAACATGTCTTGACATTTCTATCAGACTAAAATATGTTATTTTTAAAGAGTGTATTATCTGATAAAAGATAAAGGCCTGAGAAATGGGAAAAGGGAACACCCTCATGGTATGTATGTATGTATGTACGTATGTATGTATATTGCATTCCAAATGCTACATCATCACTGTTGTACAAAGAGTTCCTAGACATGTAAATGGCCACTACTCGGCCAGTGATATGACATAGTGACCTCACATCTCATCTTTTGTTGCTTCTCTGAAGAGTGTGTGGGACAGCGATATCTGCATAGATGCCCCAACATCTGTTTCATGTTAGCATCCTGTATTCCAGTCTCTTCATCTATGAGATTGATATCACAGTGTCTACCTCACTGGGTTACTGGGCAGATTCAAATAGCCAATGCACACAGGTTATGGTTATGTGCCCCATGGTGGTGCATCGCTGCTGGTAGCTTTAATATTCTGGTGGTATTTTGTTTTGCAATAAAATTTGATCTCTTAAGGTGCAGCATTTCCACGGGATAGGGACGAGAGCCCCAGAATATGATTCCAGTATTTTGTAAAGATTTCACTCATTTCACTGACAATAACATTATCCATTTCTAATAATTTATGGCTCAAAAGGCTGTCAAGATTGTTCATGAAGCAAGAATGATACAGTACAACGTAAGCAGCATGCCTTCGTCAAGTCACTCAGTAACAATATGCAATACTACCCTAAGAGGCTGCCTGACATATCTGATCTAAAATTACTGGATTATACTATAACATCAAAATTCTCTACATATTTACAGGAGAGAGAGTATGTAATTTTTGCTGCCGTTTGATACCACACTAACCTTTCCTGTCCCACCTCCACCCCTTCAGACATATTCTACCCCATATATGTGTAGCAGGTCCTATATTTCTAATCTATAATCTGCATATTCAAGAAAATCTATGTTTATCATGCTGAATTAGGCTTACACTTAGTAAAATTAACTCGAATTTTATTAATTTTCCTGAGAACGATACAATTTTATTCTTTTTTAATGGACATTGTTGTTTTTTGCCTGCATGTGTATCTGTGTGAGGATGTTAGATCCTGTGGAGCTGGAGTTACAGACTCCAGTTGTGAGGTGCCGTGTGGGTGCAGGGATTTGAACCAGAGTCCTCTAAAAGAGCAGTCAGTGCTCTCAATCACTGAGATCCTCTTCACCTCCACAGTTCTATTCTTCACAGCCCAATAAAGCTCTATTGTTTGTATGTACCACATTCTCTCTACCCATCCAACTGTCTACTGACATCCAGACTGCTTCCATGTCTGAGCTATTGAGATTGAGTGTCATAATAAAGATGGATTTGTGAGTATCTCTGTGGTTTTCATATATCCCTTTACAGAAAGCCATGCCCAATAAGAATGCGGAGTTGTGGAGCCAGTCCCAGTAGGGACATCTATCTACAAAGAACCTCCCTGGCCTAAGGTTCCGGGAACATTGAAAAAAAGTGAGTGGAAATATTGTCAGAGCCAGAGAATCGGCAAGTTTATTAGCTGTGTCTCCTAGTAATGTCAGAAAGTCTCACCAACACGACAACCGAACAGTGATGACAACAGTGGACAGAGGAAAGCCTGGGAGGCCTCAACCCCACACAAAGAACTACAGGCAGCTAAGGAATACTGAGCATGGCAGGAATAGTCTTCCCCAGGGAAGAGCACACCAATTGGTTACCCAGCACCCAATAGTGAGCTCTGGAAACATACATAAGTAACATACTTATACATACTAAGCAGTCTTATTTAGGGATATATATGTACACATATATGTATATATTCAACGTTTATGGAATATTTGTTTAACGATGTAAATATGTGTTAGATTTGTTTATGTTGTGGAATATTTGTTTAACTATATAAAGATATGTTGCATTTATTTAATCATGTAAAGACGTGAGACTGTTTCACCTTGCCTGTCTAAGGCGCCTGATAGGTCTGATAAAAAAAAGTTGAATGGCTAATAGCCAGGAAGGAGGTATAGGTGGAACTTCCAGACAGGGAGAGTAAATAGGAGGAACTTGGGTTCAAGAGAGTAAGAGAAAAGGGGATGACAGGGAGACCCCAGGGGCCAGCAGACAGACACAGAGGGAGCAGGAGCGTGGGACATACAGAACAAAAAGAAAAAGTAAAAAGCCCCAAGGAAAAACATAGATGAACAGAAACAAGTTAAGCTAAGTTAGAAGAGCTCTCGGAACAAACCCAAGTGAAGGCCAAACATTCACAATTAGTAAGTTTCCACGTCTTTATTTGGGAGCTGGTTGATGGCTCAAAGAAAATTTCAAGTGTGTGTGTGTGTGTGTGTGTGTGTGTGTGTGTGTGTGTGTAAAACAACAATTAATAAAAAAGGAACCATTAATTTGAAAGACAGTGGGGAAAGGTCTATGGGAGAGGTTGGAGAAAGAAAAGGGAAGGGAGTGATTATCTGATTACATTATAAACTTGAAAATAAAAGAAATGATCTTTAAAATAAGAGCGAAAATGATATAAATGAAAAACATATGAATAGGATAGATAAGCGATGATATCATCTTGCTTACTGATGCGTCAGGTGTGTTAAGTTTCTGTAAGCATAGAACCATGAGAGCTTGGCTGGTAATGTAAACTGAAAAAGATATTTATAGATCATATTCCTGTCATTAATTACAACAAACACATTAGTTCACCAAAGGGGCAAAGTTGAGAGAAGATGCGAATGCTTTACTTGAGGCCGGTTTACCTCCTTCAAGATGGCTCTTGCACTCCTCAGATGCCTTTCAAGCTCTGCCATTGTGACTCTTTCGTTGAACTGCTTTTGTTTTTCATGTAAATGTTTCTTAATATTTTTATGAATAATTCTTGTCTCCTTGAATTCTTTGCATAAAGTATACCTGAGGTTAAAGTGCTTATCATGAAATTAAATTTGTCAGAAAATGCAACGTTCACACTGATCTTTATAGGTTAATTATTATCATTATTATTATAAATTGTATGAAAAATATAAGACAAAAACAATTAAGTTACATTGTCAAATACTTTTACTTTCTAGCCTTATATTTCAAATTTTGTTATTTAAGACTAGGTTAAGCATTATATAGAGTGAGCAGGTAGTATTTAATAATATAGGTATATCATTATGATGTATTGTTAAATGTATGTATTAATTATGTATATATAAATGTAATAATGGTTAATATAAAACATGAAGTAGAAAGAGAGCAAGCAATGGTATATGGGAGGGCTTAGAGAAAGGAAAGGAAATGGAGAAATGTAATTATAAGCTAAACAATTTTAAGGTAAAAGAAAAAACTAGATTAAAAAATATAACCTCACTTATGCTTTTTATGATAGCTTGGGTTTTTTGTAATGATTTTACCTTACTCTGTTGATCGCCATGTCTTTTATTAAAAACTTCAGAGTCCCACTTGGGACGAGACAATAACAAATAATTAAACTAATATTAAACATCATGCTCCTTCATGATAGAGAGCAGCCACACAGGCATGTTGGCATGTGTCAGGTCCAATAGAAACCTGGGGCAAATGGTTAACTGTGGTGCCTATGAGCAAACCCAAGCTTGTGATGATCTCCAGGCTCATTCCATACCTGAGGCTCCTCTTCCCAACGCTTCTCACCCCGCCTGCTACCCTAAACTCCTCCAGCTCATGAGCTTTTCTTCCTCCAGCTTCTGCTTCCCATATAATCCTGTCATCTTGGTCGTGTGCTCTAGTTCTAATGACCCCTCTTCCACCTTCTCCCCCTCTCTCTTGGTTCCTTCTCTCTCTTTGTCCCGTTTCTCTTGACCCCCTCTCCTCTAGTCCTCTCTCACTGTCCTCTCCAGCCCTCCTCTTTCTCTGCATGCTCTGGACTCTTCCAGATGCCTCTGGCTATACTCTCTCTTATTGACAATAAAACCTTCTCTTCAGGCATCCCTTGGAGAGACCATGCCCTCACCTTATACAGCATGTGTTTTTAATCCCAGTGATCTGAAGACAGAGGCAGGTGGATTTCTGTGCTCTGAGCCAACTAGGGATATGCAGTGTGAGCCTGTCTTGAAAAATAAAGATTTCTTTTCTTATCTATATATGAAAGTGATGCTGAAGAATCAGTAATTGTTTCCCATTTTACTTTTTATTCGATGTGTGGTGATGTAGAATAAGCTCAATATTTGTGAGACCTTCAGTCCTGGTTAGCATGCACAAGGAGCCCAGTTTCATCTTCAGCACACCAATTAAAAAATGCAATCTTTGCCAGGTGGTGGTGGCTCAATCCTTTAATCCCAGCACTCAGGAGGCAGAGGCAGGCGGATCTCTGTGACTTTGAGGCCAGCCTGGTCTACACGAGCTAGTTTCAGGACAGCTAGGGCTGTAACACAGAGAAAGCCTGATTTGGAAGAAAAAAATAGTGTATTCTTTAAAGAAAAGGTTTTCAGGCTATTAATAAGACCATTTTATGCTCTATGGGTAGAATTATGAATGGATATAAATGTACTTGAAAAAAGCTAGGAATATTAACCAAAGACATTTTTAAATTTCCTATATTTTAAATATATGATTTTACATTAATGAACTTGCTAAAAGTAAATAATTAAGATTGTAAAAAAATTGCTTATCTAAATTATAATACTTGCTGAATTATTTCTATGTCAATACAATAAAAACGCCACACAGTTTCATGTGGTGAATAGTGACCTTTCGATATAGATGATGTCTATCATGCACACATTAAAATTGGTATTTTAAAGATGATATATGTCATTATCAGTGATATCCATGATTACCAATTTTTTATTATTCCCAACAATGCCTTGATCCATAAGACACAAAATTTTTTTCCTGTGAAAAATCTATGATGAAAACCAGTGGTTACAATGCTCTCTCTCCATATCTCTGACATAGAGTTCTCAAAGTAGGGTGTCATACCTCAGTTTGCAGAGTTCTTCATCCTGTTCCACTATTTCATCCTCTAACTTTGATTTCTCCTCTCTTCTTTTTTTTAGCTCCTTCCGTAGAGCAATAATTTTATTTTCTATTTTTTGATTTTTTTTCCTGAGTAGTTCATGGATTTTTTTAAGGTCTAATAATGCATTGTAGGAATTGGGTAAATCCTGTATTTTTAATGATCCTCCAGAATCTGGATGAAGGAAAGAAGAGACAAAATAAAATACATCAATTAGTGTCTTATCTGTGTAAAAAAAAAGAAACTATACATTTTGACCTCCTTTCATTGATGCTCTGGACAGATATAGACTGGACGCCAATGATGAAAATTACATTAAACTAAATTCTGTAACAAGAACACACTAGATCTGTGTTCTTAGTTTAAAGTTCAGTAGGAAAAAAAAAAAACAGATTAATGACCATTTGGAGACCCGTGGTTAAAAAACCACAAGAGTTCTGTGGTCGCATAAGGTTATCTGCAGCTGGAACAAGAAGATATCTCAGAGGAAAAGATGGCGACGTAGGGGAATAATGAATGTGCCTGAAGCCGCTAAGCAGATGGTACAAAGGATTCTAGACCGTCTCCAAAGGTGCGGAGAAAACTGCCGTCTGCTTCTACCTAATGCGAAGAACGTTAGTAGTTAGTATACGAAACAAACAAACATGAAATAAAATGCTTTAAGCAATTTTCAAGACAATGGACTTCAGGTAATGAAAACAATGGATTCCTAAAGTCCCAGCTCCCTGCTGCAAGAGGGATTTTAAGCCAAAACACAGAAAGAATTGAAGACGCCAGTCAAGGTGAGATTGCATAATCGTGTTTAAGAATTGAAAGCAGTACATCCCATGCTCCTCTTTTTGGGTCTGGCTTACCTCACTCAGGATAGTGTTTTCTATTTCCATTCATTTGCATGCAAAATTTCGAGAAGTCATTGTTTTTTACTGCTGAGTAGTACTCTAATGTGTATATATTCCACACTTTCTTCATCCATTCTTCTATTGAAGGACATCTAGGTTGTTTCCAGGTTCTGGCTATAACGAATAATGCTGCTATGAACATAGTTGAGCAAATGCTTTTGTCATATGATAGGGCATCTCTTGGGTATATTCCCAAGAGTGGTATTGCTGGGTCCAGGGGTAGGTTGATCCCGAGTTTCCTGAGAAACCGCCACACTGATTTCCAAAGTGGTTGCACAAGATTGCATTCCCACCAGCAATGGATGAGGGTACCCCTTTCTCCACAACCTCTCCAGCAAAGGCTATCATTGGTATTTTTGATTTTAGCCATTCTGACAGGTATAAGATGATATCTCAAAGTTGTTTTGATTTGCATTTCCCTGATCGCTAAGGAGGTTGAGCATGACCTTAAGTGTCTTTTGGCCATTTGCAATTCTTCTGTTGAGAATTCTCTGTTCAGTTCAGTGCCCCATTTTTTAATTGGGTTATTTAGCATTTTAAAGTCTAGTTTCTTGAGTTCTCTATATATTTTGGAGATTAGACCTTTGTCTGTTGCGGGGTTGGTGAAGATCTTCTCCCAGTCAGTAGGTTGCCTTTTTGTCTTAGTGACAGTGTCCTTTGCTTTACAGAAGCTTCTCAGTTTCAGGAGGTCCCATTTGTTCAATGTTTCCCTTAATGTCTGTGCTGCTGGGTTTATACATAGGAAGTGATCTCCTGTGCCCAACTGTTGTAGGGTACTTCCCACTTTCTCTTCTATCAGGTTCAGTGTGTTCAGATTGATATTGAGGTCTTTGATCCATTTTGACTTGAGTTTTGTGCATGGTGATAGATATGGGTCTATTTTCCAAAAAGAGGAGCATGGGATGTACTCACTCATAATTGGTTTCTAGCCACAAATAATGGTCATTGAGTCTATACTCTGTGATCCTAAAGAAGCTAAATAAGAAGGTGAACCCAAAGAAAAACATATAGTTATTATCTTGGATATGGGAAGTAGACAAGATTCCCGGGCAAAAAATTGGGAACTTGGGGGTGGGGTGGGACGGGGGTAAGGAGAGATGGGGAGAGAAAAGTAAGAAGGGGATAATGGGGAGAACTTGGGGAAACGGGATGACTGGGAGAAAGGAAGGTTAGATAGAGGAGCAGGGAATCACATAACTTAATTAAGGGAGCCATCTTAGGGTTGGCAAGAGACTTGAACCTACAGGGGCTCCCAGGTGCCCAGGGCGATGTCCCCAGTTAGCTCCTTGGGCAGCTGAGGATAGGGAACCTGAAATGACCCTATCCTATAGCCATACTGATGAATATCTTGCATATCACCATAGAACCTTCATCTGGAGATGGATGGAGATAGAGACAGAGACCCACACTGGAGCACCGGACTTA